ATATCTCATAGCAGTTTTGAAATACTTCATTCATTCATTTTATAGCAAACTCTTAATTGAGAATGTCATAAACTGTTTTGCAGAGGAGGCAATCACGATCTGAAAAATTAAGTGGAGTAATTTACAAATAGGCTTTTGTCTGGCTGAAGGTTTCAGCTTATTCAGGATTTGCCTTTAGGTTATTTTAGCAACACATGCTCCATTTTCCCCACCCCATTGGCAGTATGTATTTTGGGTGCCCGATATATGCTGGAAATGAAAAACAGTTTCTCATATGTTGCTTTCTCCTGGTCCACATTACAAAATCTTTCTGACCCTTTTATTCTCAAAATCAAACACTATCACTTTCATCCTTCAAGACCCCTCATTGTCTCACCTCATCTGTCTATTGTCCAGATTTCTTCCCACAAGAGTCCTATGTTGTGAATGAACGAACACTGGGCCCACTTCCAGCCCTTTTCCATGAAACCAACCTTGACCCAAGTCCAGAGTGAGTTCCTTCTTCTCTTAATTTCTTTACAATTTATAGTCTACATAATTTAACACTTTAAAAATATGTCCTTTTTCCCTTCTTTTTTCTTAATAAAAGTATCTTGTCCCTTCTTTTCCCTGACTACGGTACAAGCTATATGAAGAGTGCCGACTTCTAAGTCACATGAACTGGGATGAAATCCTAGTACTGCCAGTTACTAGTTGTGGCCCCAGGGCACCTGGGGATGATAATAATAATTACTTCACAGGGTTTCTGAAGGGGTAAAAGAGGCGGCTTATATGAAGTATAAAGCACATTGTATGAGCTCATTAAATTCTTGTTCCAAGATTAATTTACTGATTCTTTTCTAGGCAAAGCTTTCTCTTTAAGGAGAGGAGGGAGAGAAAGGATTCTCTCTCTCTTTTTAGTAACCAGGGACATATGTCCCAAATTTTTGCCCCCCAAACATATTGTCCCTTAAACTATTCAAGATTCTGTGGACTTGCACTTGATGTCAGTCTTTCAGCTTAGTCAAAAGTTCATTGCTTTTGATTCATCTAACAGATCTCAACTGAGCTCCTACTGTGTGTCAGAAATTATGCTTGACACAATCAAGAAAATGTCTTTTAACTTCTATAATCCCTGTCTGCACTTTTTTTATGCCATGGATTCATATAGAACCCCACCCTACCCCTTCATATATACACATGTCATCTTAAAAATTAAGCTTGGGCAAGAGGAAGAAAGTATCTATAGAGAGAACCCAGTGGATTATAGCATTCAAGGTAGTTTTCAACAGGCTCAACAACTAGGATGCCATTTTTGCAAGGTATGAGCCACACTCGACTCATGTCCTCTATGGTTATTATACTTACATTAACTTATTTTTGTACACAAGTGACTATGCCTTACTTTATGTCATTTGAGCCCTTTTGCCTTTAAGTTATTAGATGTGGATTCACCACTTAAACTCATAGTTTCTAGTTTCCTCCATTTTATTTTTCTGCATTCAATCCATTTAGTCATAAAAACATTGATTCCAAAGCAATATTTAGCTAGTCTAACAATATTAACAGTCTGCTGCCAAAGACTTTTGACTAATTCATCTTTGTAGAGGCCAGAGCATTCATAGTTTTCTAACTAGGATAAAGTAGCTTATTTAGACTTAAAAGACAAGAACAAAGGCAACATGAGTTTGCTTTGATGATATCAAAAATTTAGTAATTTTTCATCTTTTCTCCCTTGTAGTAACAGATAGCCAACAGATTATTATTGACTTTGGTAGTTTCATAGAATTTTCAAGTTGAGAGATACTGAGGAGTCACTTGTTCCTCAAATTGTGGGCCGTGAGTCCACAGCATCTGCATAATTTGGGAGCTTGTTTGGAAAAATCTCAGGCCCACCCTAGACCAACTTAATCAGGTTCTGTGTCTTGGCAGAATTCCCAGGTGATTTTAAAGTTTTTGAAGCACTGCTCTAATCCACCTCCACTTCTGTCCTCCTTTTAAGAGATGAGAACATTCAAACTCAGAGTTAGTACAGAGCTAAGCTTAGCATCTCAGCCTCGTGACTCTAGGGTTACTGTTCTCTTCTGTGCTCAGGGCCAGCTTGTTAGCTTCCTGGCTCAAGGTGGACATAAGCAGCTGTTGCCCTGTTGCTTACTGTAGGTCTGCACTTGTCTTGCCTTACTTTCTTGGTTGATGTTTGGTGGTCTAGGAAAGAAGACTACAGGATTAGAGAATGCCTTTTTCTTTAACCCCCATTCCTCGTGTGTGGGAAGCCATTCGGTTTATCATCCTATATTGCATAACTTGCAGGGATCCTCTGACTGTGGCCCGACGGTCACATGAGGGCCTGCTGGGTATTTTTGCCTCCTCTGCCTGTTCTGCTTAGCAGCCGACTAGTCCCGGGCCCACAGTGCGCATGTGTGGAGTGTGTGCTGCACTCTCCAATGGCCCGCCAACGATCTGAGGGACAGTGAACTGGACCCCTGTTTAAAAAGTTTGAGATCCCCTGGAAAGCTTCCAAAATAAGAGTAAAGTCTTAATTAGGCCAGAACCCTTTTATTGTCTTTAATTTTATATGTTTGTCAGCATCTATGATAGGAATTTTACCATCTGATATTCTTTCTCTAATGCACAGCTCACAATTGTGTAGTGCATCTCCATTTGTACAAGGAGGATAGAAAAGGCTGAGCCAAACCCTGTTAACAAAACAGTCCCCTGAAGGGCTATAATATTGCTCAGTGGTAATATCATCCCTATGCATTTTATCTTGTACATGAAATCTGGGCTAATTATCATTTTCTCATACAGTACATTTTAGACCATTGTGTTTTTGTGTCCCTGCCTAGTTCATTAAGCAGGGTTTTACAGCTCCTCCAGTAACAGGATTGCTATTGACACTTTCATTAGACCCATAATTCAAATGCTCGTCTGCCTTCCAAATGGAAGCCTCTGAGTCCAGAACCACAATCTGGCCACCGACCGTATGTTGGCTTTTAGAACTGTCATAAACTCATCATCACATTCAAGTTCTTGAAGGGTCAAAATCTGCTTTCTTGGTGAACTGTCTTCATCCAACAAACAGTCAACGTGTTCTCCAAGAATAGTCAGCCAAGTTTTCTCTGTCGCTCTCTGAAAACTATTCCAGACAGTTCTCAGTATAGTGTGACTATAGCACAAATAATCAGTGTCTGTATTTAAATATTAATTCCCTGCTTCATTCATTCACTTATCCATTCATTCGCTTACTCTTACCACTTAAAACCAATATACCAAATATTGTGACAGAAGCTTTGGTGATTTAAAGATGAATAAGATGGTCTCTCTGCCTTGGAGTATCTTATAGTCTAGTAGATATGTACATAAGTCACTATCCAATTAAGTGAAATGTGAAAATTTCACCACTAGGTTGCCAGCAGTAGGAATGGTGATGGTTATAGCCGTGTGCTCTAACTAAGGGCTATTATCAACACTGTTTTTTCACCAATGATTCAAATGGAAATAGTCTCAACTGGAATAAGTAGAACTGCAAATATATAGATATATAAACATATACCTATATATATGTACAGTATGTCACAGAGTATAACCTCAGAAATAGATGGAGTCCCTAGAAATAATTCTGATGGGCAATAGAGAAACGGTGGGCTGGATCAGAGACAGCAATTATTTTAGTGGTCATGAAAAATAGTCTTTGAGTTATTAGTAGTGTTTTATTTCTCTCACTGAAAAGGTTCAAGAAGAGGTTGAATATAAATACTTGATTTAATTTATAATAAACATTTTAAGAGTGCATGCTAGACATCAAAAATTTCTGCTTTTAATTTTTGCAGAAGTAAATATCTTGAGCCTTAGTTAAGAAGCAGGAAATCTGAGCAGACCTATGTGGCATCAATGTGTAATTGAGCCTTTCAACCTCTACAGAATGCTTTTACCTATTCAATTGAAACAGACGATTGTAGACCATATATTTCAATGTACACTTATATATGTTTGGTTTAAAAGGCAGCTACTTGGTTGCTTTTGCTTTAGGACCAGTCATATCACAGAGAAAAAAAAAACATGGCTTGTGGTAGTTTCATCCTCCTGACATCTATGCTTTTAAAATATAAAGAAAGAGAGGAAGAAATGGAAAAGACAAAAGTATAATCTTGTACCATTTATTCAGTTCCTTTCCTGGTTCTTGACCTTACCTGAGCACACACCTTGTATTACCCACCTCATTTGGTTTCTTCCAACCAAAGCCATAGTTGGGTTCCTGAAACAAAAATGGTCCTCTGCTAGAATAGACCCAGACCATTAAGCAGAAGAAGGTTGTGAGGCTGGACTCCATTACTGATTGAGGTAGTGTGGCTTCATTTTACAGTAATACTGCTGTGCTATTGAAAAATGACTTCAGCATTCTTTTCAGTGCTTTTCATTCTACCTTGTGTGCCTTCATAAACATGTCCAATCATGTGATGGAGGTCAACAACAGTGTAGGGTTTAGAATTTGTTGCTTGGAAATCATACTCACTTAAATACCTGAATCTGTCCATCAGCCGTGCCATAGCTTATTCCAAGCCTGTGCAGAAGAGTGATTTGCAATCTCCTTGCTTTTCATTTCAAGTAGCATCACTCACTTTAAGCCAGATATTCAGGCCTCTTCAGAAGCCTCCAGGGTGAAGGACAAGTAAGAAGAAGCTTATCGAATCTTTCACAACCGTGGCCGGCTACATCTACTCCTGCATCAGACTCAGGGCATCTTTCTTTGGTATTTTAGTTTAAAATCACACATTCTGCCTTTTATGTGACAAATAATAGGGAATTTGCCACATAATTTCACAATCCAGATGGCTCTTTTGTGGTTCTATACATTTAATTGATCACTATCCAGGTTGAAGTCTGGGCCAGAATGTCTGCGGTGGAAGAAGAGGACATCATGTTTATTTTTGCCAGTCCTTCTTTGAGTTCTCTTCTCTCCTCTTCTATAAACTCAGGTTGCATAACTACATTCTGTTTTCTTTTTTCTTTTTCATTTACAGGGACTTACCAATTTGGGCCTCTTCCAGGAGCTGAAAACCGATTACAAATATGAAACAGATTTCACTACTGGAATTGAATGCCACATAAAAAAAAAAGGCTCCTCAAAATAATTGAAAGAGATCTTCACCAAAGAGTAGCTGCAATGTGAATGGCAGGATATCAAGGAAGTAAAAGGTAAATATTGAATGAAAACATCTTTGCTTTATGGCCAGATATATAAAAAATATTCTTCCAGGCTAAAGGTAGCATTCCTTCTCAGGTAAGGGTCAGAGGATGGAGGATCTTTTCCTCCATCAGCAAAAATACCAGATAACCCAGGATCTTTGGTCCCTCGGTATATCTGTCCAGCTATTAATTTTGGAAATATTGCAGAATACTATATTCATTCTAAAAACATCATTTTGGAGGAGCAGGCTTGCTTAGTAAAGGAAACATCCTCTACAGAAACACCCATGGGGACATTTGACAATTTCTTATGCTTCAGAAATTTTGGTGTGCCATCTTGAAAACCTATTTCTAGATGACAAAGGATCAAATAAGGGGCAAAAGGCAATAAAGCTCTTAAACCCTATTTATCTTGATGTTGGAGAAAAATAAACAAAATTAGTTGGGCTCCCCAGAACATACAGAAGTCATCAAGGGTAGGTACTTGCCATTTTAGCTTTTCCCAGTGTGAAAAGAGGGAAATACACACACACACACACACACACACACACACACGCATACAGTATGTATGTTTACATATGCAGTGATCTCAGTCGCTTCTTTCTCCTGGCCTATTAATTTTCTGGCTTCATCTCTTCTGTTCTGCCTGGAAGGTCTATGAGTTGCCAGATTCATTCCTGGGGCTTTTGTGAAACAGAGTCTAAAGAACAGGGAAAGAATAGAAGGGACAAAAGCCATGGTGACCTATTCTCCTCAGGAAAGCAGTGAGCCTGGAATACGGCAAAGGAAGGCATTCAGTGCCCCAGAGCAAGAAGGCAGAAGGAAGGTGGTGGTGAGAATACCTCAGGTGTGAATGTGAGGACACTCCAGTGAGTGACTGAGGATATGGCATGAGAATTCTGGGAGATGGGGGGGAGTGATTTTGGGAGAGATGATGGAGATTGCATAGTGAGGATGTGAATTCACAGAGTGAGCTATTCAGAGAGAAATGGTATTTGAAAATGAGAGAAGATGAGAGGTATTAATAGTAATTGCCATGGACTGTAATTCTTGGCTCTCCTTTATTCTTCAATGAATGAGTAAAGGATAGAATTCCCCAATTTTAAATGAAATGTCAGTTCAGGTCTGAACACATGGGTGCAGCCTTTGATAAGGTTTCACCCACAAAGCAAATCTCTCACTGGGTACTCTGGCAATGGGATTTTTTAAAAAAAGAAATCATAGCATCCTCTCAATGCCCAAACCTCTGCTTGACCACTGGTTTTCCAATTCTCTTCATATGGCCTAGTTTATAAAGTGCAGATCTAAGGAGCAGCTGTCCTGAGCTTTAGCCACTAAAGTTAGGAACCACTAACTAGTTGCATGACCCAGGTCATTCATCTAAGGTAATGATATGCACTAGCTATAAACATGGAGTCACAGATTTTGCACAAGTTATTTAACCTCCTTTAGTCATTGCTTTTTGTAGCTATAAAGTTGGGACAGTAGAATAATTTCCACCATCAACTTTTTAATGAAATAACATATGTGAAGCTTCATAGTAATGAGTTCAATAAATACTAGCCACCATTGTTATAATTGCTATTATTATTATTGGCAGTGGTGGCATTGTTAATCCCTGGCTATTCTTTAAAATTAGAGGATAAGATAAAATTTCTCCTTTGCTCCTGTCCAGCTCTAAAAATAATTTCTATAACTCCTGAGTTTAGGAACACCTTACACAAAAAATAGGCAACAGGCCATGAAATCACTCTTTTTCACCCAAGTCTTTGACAAATATTCAGGTTATTTTGAAATGCCACTCCCTGGAGAGGGCCCAACATTTCATTTAACATGTGCTTTGCCCACTTCAGTATCTGGCTTGGTACTACTTACATGCTTGTATTCTGAATAAGAAAAAGAGATCAATTTCTTCTCTCTCCATCTGTAACTAAACTCCACTTGAACTACTGATGATTTACCCTGTAGGTATGGAGACACGAGTTAGTAGTTCTGCCGTTTCCAAAGAACATAGATATTCTCCAAAGTGCATTGTGCTTTTTCTTTTTTCCCTACAGCCTCTTCTTCCTCCTTCCCCTTCTTTTCAAGATTTTAGAACCTTAGTTCTGCGATATGAAACAGACTTTCTCTTTCAAAGACTTCTGAGCTATTTCTTCTCTTTACTTCATTTGCTTGGTAGCATCTTGGCCACAAGAATATAATACTGATAGAGTTGTTGATTGGTCCCAGAATATATCACAGTCTCTAAATACATGAAATTAAAAAAAGAAAAAAAAAAAAAGAAATCAACATTGTTCTGAAAGGAAGGTAGTTAAAATTCAGAAAGAGAGATTCTTTAATTAACTTAATAAAATTACTAATGGAAGCATTTTAACTGCTAAATTTAATTTACTTGTCAAGATATCAGGCTACAAAGAGGAGGGAAGAGTAGGAACTCTGCTTTCCATTATGATGTACTCTATTATAGAATAAATTTGCTTAAAATGAAATATATCACCAAAAGCCATCAATGACATCTTAATTTGGAACAGCCAGTTGAAAAGTAATTAGACTATGAAGCAATCAGTTCTAGTAAATCAGTGTTTCCCTTTACATAAACATACTTTTTTTTTTCTATTTATATACAGGAAAGACTAGACTTTCAGGTAGTAGGCAGGCAAAGATGCTGATTCTTTTGGCTGTCGGTGTTTCTACTTTACATTACCAAGCTGTCAAAACAAAATGTTTTATGATAGGATTAAAAAATGTATAAGCATCTGATTTGATTTAGTGTTTATATTTATATGTTGAACTGAGGAGAGTTTGCTTATCATAGGGGTTTAAAAGATTTACATTTGTCTGCTTCTTACTTCCAAAATGCTTTCCAGATCCACAGGCAGACCTGACACCTTACTTCAATGAATGCAGCCCAGTCCGAAATCAAACAAGAGCCCTGCTTCGCCCTGCAGGGTCTCTCCTAACTTGTATAAATAAACGTAGAGAATGTGGTTGCTAATGAGAGAGGGCTTGAGACTGAGGTGGGAGTGGTTCAAATTATCCTTTTGTTTAGTGTCTGAAACTCACCATTAGAAAATTCTCAAATTGTACCTGACCTTCCCAAAAGTGTGTGTGTGTGTGTGTGTTTGCTTATTATTGTGAAAAGCTGATAAGGGACATGGGTGAAACAGAAATAATTTATATTTAATTTGATTAGGAGAAATTAGCACAGTTTGTTAAAGAGGCATCAAAAATGTGCATGTCAAACCATTTTACCTTAGGAAATATTTTTTGTATGTATCTTTTTTGATCACCTTAGTACCCTTATGAAGAAGTTGTTTTCGTCTTCATCTTACAGGCGTAGAAACGGAGGCCCAGAGAGGTTAAGTGTTTTGTGGAGACAGCAGAGGTAGTTAATGGGAGGGCTGGGGCTAGAATGAGGGCTTCTGGGCTCCTGATGCGTTTTCCACAACATCTGCTTCTGATGATGGGATCCCATCTGTTATATGCTGAGGGGAAGAGGTGTGAGAAAAATAACTAGGGGAGATATCAATCACTCAGCAAAATATTTATGAAGGACATCATTCAGATATTAGGGGTGTCACCATTGTCACCAGCCCCGAAAAATCAGAGGGAATGATGAATTATGCCAAAGAGAACATTAACTCAGAAGGTAGAGACTACCTTGCAATGATATGCTTGTGCTAGTGTGTATTATTCCCTAGTGGGAGAGAATGGCATGAGAGAGGAAAATAAAGGACAATTGTGTAGGGAGTGAAAATAAGCCTCACCTTGTAATTAAGAAAGAAATGTGGGGAAGTCTCTGAAACACAGTTCTAGGATCTGCCAACATGCAAATCACTTAACAGTATGCAAATGACCTGGCCCTAATAGAGTAAATCATTTCTTTTCTCTCCACTGCCTATTTAGAAATGTGATCATTGATACCAACATTATAAGGTGCTATTCCTCATTGGAAAACACATTGGAAGAAAACCTAAAATGGATGATGCAATGGGAGTAAGTATTAAGATTCATAATTGTAAATAGGTGTGAAGTAGTCTAAGGCAATATAATTAAAGTATAAAAGCCTCCGTTGCACTGTTGAAGTGAGAGAACTGGGCAGAACACAAGGACTGCAGGGTCCTTCTGCCTGTAGGAGTCTAGTAAAAATACAGCCTGTTATCCCCGGTGGCTGCTCAAGATCCGTGTGTAACAGGACAATTGCCCTGAGAGTGGAGAAGGCAGGAACTATATAAAAATAGACAGAACAACTTAAAGTTAACAAAGAAAAGATAAGGAGCACAAAAGTGGGAAATGAGATATTGCTAGTAAAAGAGGTTAAATGGAGTAAGGAGGTCTTTTATAGATGTATCAAGGGAAAAAAAAAAGTGATCCTCAAGAGAAAAAAGGCTGCAGAATAAATAAGAAGAGGAAGGCATGAAATTAATGATGGCTCAGATATTGACCTCCTGCTTTAAGTAGTTTTTAAGAGAAAAAATGAGAAGAAAATTTGGACAGCTGGAAGGCAATAATGACTTTTAAAAATAAGTATTGACAAAGAGGAAGGGGGAGAATTTAGAAAAAAATAAACATTGTGGCATTTACAGATTATAAGCTTCAGATACTATGCTTCCTAGGGAATTTGGTTCCCTACCTACTAACAATGCACAGACTTGGAAGAAGAACAATACAGACTAGAGAGATGTCAGAAATTCCTCAAAATTAATTTGTTTCATATAATAATAAAATAATGCTTGGGGCAGGTTAGGAAGGCAAATACAGGACAGGCACCCTAAGGGTTGTATAAATTTGGGGTATATTTGGTTATGGCTGTGTGGTGATTGCAATTTTTAGAAAATTGGTGAAAACTTTTTCCTTTAATTCAGTGAGAAACGAAATAAATTGGATATCCCCATATAAGTAATAAGTATTGTACACACTTTAAAAGTATAAGAGAGACTGTCATTATTTTATGGCAGAAAATTATAAAAATGGTATAGTCCTTAAACATTACATAAGCATTAAAATATTGATTATAATATGTACATAAAATTGGAAAATTCAATGTACAATAGAAAAAATTATCGGAGAGGAAATTTCAGTTCCTAATAAAATTTCCAGGTTAAATCCTTAAATCTAACTAATTAATTTGAAGCTACTAGATATTTGAGAATAATCATTTAGGGAAATTTTTGTTGACATTAGGCAATGTATTTGTGTGCAATAAAGACACAGTATAAGTAATGGTATTTTATATAGAGAATGATTTATTGGAAGTGAATTCTTAAGGGAAGATAATCTCTTAGAATATTTGCCCCTGAACATTTTCTTCAGCGTTCCCGCCTGTGGGCTGTCTTAGTTGACACACTAGTGGGTGGGACTCAGTGGCTTCTTGGTTTCCCTCATTTTCAGTGTTCTCTTTTCCTGTCCCAGGCTCCTCTTCAGTAGCTGAATTCATGTGAGATTTATGGCATGCCACTCCATTGACACAGTTTCTAGGCTCTGCAAGGAGACCTGCAGCGCCTGCTCTGGGGCAGCTTACAGCGCAATTTAGATACAGACAGGAAGGAAGTGAGGAAAGAGCAGTTAGCCCAAAAGTCTAGAGGCAGAGAAGCGCATCCACACAAGGGGAGGCTAAATAGTTCATTTCTGTTGGAGCAGACCCTTAGAAGGCAGCAGGGTGCAACTGTGATGTGGTAGGGCCTTTGGGAACTGAAGACCTGGGCACAAATCAGGCCTCTGGCTTTGGGGAAAGCCACTTTACATCTGTAATGCTCGTAGTCACCATTCGCAGGATGGGGTTCATTACTTTCCTGCATGCCCTGCCCTGCAAGGTGCTGACCCCCAGTATGGTTGTGTGGTTGATGTGGCCATGTGATCAGCTTCCAGCCTTCTTTTCTTTTTTTAATTTTTAAAACATTTTTTAATTTGTATAAATTTATGGGGTACAAGTGTAATTTTGTTCCATGTATAGTTTGCATAGTGGTGAAGTCAGGGCTTTTAGTGTATATATTACTCAAGTAACGTACATTGTACCCATTAAGTAATCAATCTCTCACCATCCACCAGCTTCCCGCTTTCTGCCCAGCTTTAGTAATACTTTGCTTTCACAGGGATTCTATTCCAGAGCAGTTACTTTTGTGTCTAGTGGCATCTGATTCCCTGGCACATTGCAATTAAACAATTTCCTTTTTACTAACTTATTGTTTAATATTTCTTTGAAGGTTTTCAAAGCAGCATAAATGTTTTGTACTAACTTTCAATATGTTATAACAATCAGCCCAAAGTGGGATGGGAAGAAGATAACCCGCTTCCTAGTTGGATGGTGGCTGTGCTGTGAAGATATGGAATGTATGCTGAGAAAAGGAGAGATTTCATTCCATCCAAGAAATGGCAGAGACAGACAATTTCTGACTAGATTAGTGGCAGACTGTGAGTGATAGGTGCGTGGACACAGCTGATTCTTTTACATAAATGGGACCCCAAATCCAATCAAGGATCAGCCCTCTTCACTGAAGTGTGGTTTTTGAGCACTACTGAAGGAGAGCAGAATTGATGGAGAGAGGAAGGAGAAAAAAAAAAAAGTAAAGAAAAGAGGGAGGAAGGTGGAAAATAACAAAAAAAATAAAATAAAAATATATAGGAATTTGCATAGTGTTTAAGAACCTATTTTGCACCAGGAGTGGTGGTTCACACCTATAATCCTAGCACTTTGAGACGCCAAGGCAGAAGATCACTTGATCCCAGGAGTTTGAGACAAGCTTGGGCGACATAGGGAGACCTCATCTCTACAAAAGATTAAAAAAAATTAGAGTGGCACTTGCCTATAGTCCCAGCTATTCAGGAGGCTGAGGCAGGAGGATCACTTGAACCCAAGAGGTTACAATGAGCTATGATGACATTAGTGCACCCCAGCCTGTGCAACAGAGTAAGACCCTGTCTTAAAGAAAGAAGAAAGAACGAACGAACGAACGAACGAACGAACGAAAGAAAGAAAGAAAGAAAGAAAGAAAGAAAGAAAGAGAGAGAAAGAAAGACAAACCTATTTTTAAGCTATGCTATGTCTGTATCATTTAAGCTATGTCTGTATCATTTGGGCATAATTGGCTACAGGGAAGAGAAGAGACCTTCATTTCATGTTTCCTTTTTTTTTTTTTTTTTTCCTGCTGCTTTACTCTGTAGATTCTCTATTTAAAACAACCTCACCAACTTTATTGAAAGAATATGTGCAAATTATTGATCTTTTTTTTTTGTTTGGTTTTAACTGGGAGTTTTAGTAAAATCATTACCCATATGATATTTTCTTTGAAGTCTTTAACATCTTAGTTTCTGTACTCTAGAACTTGATCACAGACTCCAGGAAATCAAAGTAGAATATGCACCAATGTGCATTTAGGAAGAACTGAAACTACTTAATAAAAACTTAGATACTGATATTTAGCAGTTAATGGTAAAAAAAAAAAAAATGTCCTCTTAGTTGGAACCATTGGAACCAAATTCATTAAGAATAAATCAAGTTTTATTTTTCTCTCTGGCAATTATATAGTATTTTTAAAAGATTATTTTAATCTTCTCAGAGTATTTTAGCTAACTTATCGTTCAAAGGACATGAAGAATAAAATGTGTACAATAAATAATATATAATAAAATATATACAATAAACAATATATTATAAACAATAAGTATGAGAATACTACATATCAAAACTTATAGGAGTCAGCCAATGCTATACTTAGAGGTTAAATAATAGCCTTAAATATTTTCTTTCCTTGGGAAAATAAAGAAGGGATAACTACAAATGAATTAAAACTAAAATTCAGGAAATCATACAAATATAAACCCATGGGGATGAAATAATAAAGATAGAAACAGGAATGAGAAACTAAAGATAGTAAATGTAATTCATTGCTAGGTGTTAGGAAAATCTATTTTATTTTAATAATATTTATTTATAATATAAATTATGTTGTATTTATATATTTGTATATAATAAATTATTTATTAACTTGTCAGTTATAATAGGGTATCTATAAACAAAATTGGAAATGAGAGCATATCTCTTAGAATATATTCAAAGGCAATAAAAATTATAAGAACTTTGTAGTTATGGTCCAATAAATTTGAAAATCTCAGTGAGATGAAAACATTTTGGAAAAATATATATTACCAAATTTATTTGAGAAAAATGAGAAAGAAATAACTAAAGTGGTGGCCAGAGATGAAACTAACTATGAAATAAAGTTTTTACAAAGTGGTTAAAGTGTTAAAAGTATTTTCTCTAAAACAAAACAAATCCTAGGATCTTCAAAGGACAATTAATTTTAAGTTGTTCCTAAATATAGAAAAATATTGAAAACTGCCTAATTTATTTTGTGAGTTAACATTACTCTGATACCAAAAATGGAGAGAGATGGCTATAGAATACAATAGAAAAATCTGTGGACCTCCTCTACTTATATATAAATATAGATACAGAATAGGAAATGAAATAATTCAACTGTTCATAATATGAATAGTCTTTCTATCATGGTGGGTGCATTTGGCAAAGTGGTGAGGAGGTCACTGCATTTTTTATTCTTTATCAAAAGGAGACTCACTCCTGGAAAAGTGGCCGGCAGGTTGGAGTAGCTTCATCAACTCTGACAAAAGATCACAGAAATAATTAGAATGTGTTTTCACGAACTGATTTGATTCTGGATATTTTTGCTTAAATACAGGGACTGAAGTTAGAGTCAAGAAACAGTCATGCTTCATCTCTTATTGCTTATAGTATTTTCAAAGTTAGCATTTATTTCACAGAATAATTATAAATCAGATATATTAAATCCCCAATATAAGCAGACCGTGTGCTACACACTACACATTCAGAGACTTGAAATTAATTGTTAGTGGCCATCAGTCTCAAGCATAGTGGGTACCTTCTTTGTATTTATTTGTTAGTGATCTGGCTCATCTTCTCTTTCTACTCTGTGTCATACCCATTTAAACGGTCTCTCTCTTTCTCTCTCTCTTCCTCC